GATGAACACTAGATGGAGGAAGAATCTCAGATATAGAAGAGGCTTAAGCCTTGGATGGAAGCATCCAAGCTTAAGGTGCAAGGGAAAGCTCACTTCAAAGAGGAGGAAAACCTAGTAGGGTTCCTAAGGTGAAGCTTTCTCTCATGGTGACTCTTGAACGAAATTTGGCTGAATAAGCTCTCAAATTTCATTATTCTCAAAAGTGAATACAAAGAGTGGAAGAATCACTTAAGTAGGGTTCCAAGTGTGCAACTTTGGGCGCCTAAATCCAAGGCTACATGTGGCGCCCAAAATTTGAATTCAAACTTGAAATTTGAATTCAAATTTTGGCTCCCATGTGCTAGTCCGAAAATTTAGGTGCCTAGATGCATTTAGGTTTGATTTGAGAGTTATTTAGGGTTAATTTGAGTGGCACATGTTCAGCCACCCATGGTGCTAAACATGTGACTCAAATGTAACTTAAATGACTTCCAAATTAAACCTAGTTTAACCTATTTTACCTATTTAAGTAATTCTTGTATATTCCTAATCTAATGACCTAAATACAATGGTCAAACAAATACAATGGAAAGGAAAAATTACAAGAATGAAAATGAGCCCAATATTGGGTACCAAAAGCCCAAAGGCCCATGAAGCCCAAAACTAGGCCCAACAAGCCTAAAACCTAAAATGCTACTCTATGTGGTCCAAAATACAAGACCAAAATATATGATACCTATACTAACATGATGTATACAAAACATATGAAAATAGCTATAACAAAATATGGCCCATGAAAAGTTCAACTTGGGCCTTCCCAGGCCCATCAGGCCCATTGGGCCCTGACTGGCCCAAACCTTCATGTCTAGCCAACTCCTCTTGGCTCCTTCAATATGTCACCTCTTGCCTTCCTAGGCATGATTCCATCAATTTAGCAAAGACCTAGGAAACTTTTTGTCCTTTTCTGGTCGCGTAGTTGTAGAGTGTTGTCCTTATCTGAAAAAATGATGTACTTTTTCTGACACATGTATGCTTTTACTTTTGTGTGTTTTTCTTCATCTTCTTCCATCATGCTATCATGTTGAGAGTATTTATATGATCGTAGACAATGCCTGAGTTTTCCTAGGAGACATGATTCTTTAAATTCTTTCATGGCAATCTTTGTCTGCGTCTATTAGTCCTATGCGTCTCAATTTGTGATTTTTATCTGAGCATTTGAGTTTAATGTTTTGACTTTCTTTTGATCTAGTCAACATTGCAGATGGACAGACTTTGTTTTTGTCTGAAATATCTTTTAGTCTGTGTTGTCCTTCGTCTTATGCGTAGTTGACTTTCTTTTGATCTCTAACTTATGCTACGTCTAATTTCTTATGTTGTACTGGAGGTTGTCCTTGACACACCTTCGTCTAATATAAGACTGATAGTCGTCTGGTTCACATATTATACTTTGTCTATTCAGTTATCTTGATTTGTCTGATTCTCATGATGTGCCTTGCCTTGACTGTTCTTTTATCTGAGTTGACCATCTGGTTTCATCTAATGTTTAACCCATTTTTGTCTTGTCCCAGATTTAGCCTTGTTTTGGCTTTTCATCTGATGCTTCAAGGTTTCAACTTGTAGTGGTCCTCATCTAGTGTTTGTTGAATGTTCTTCTATCTTTGATCAGCCCTAATCTTGTTGCTTGACCAACCATGACCTGATTTTCTTGTTTAGTTTTCCTAGGCTTCATAGATCTTGTATTTAATACATTTGATCTTGCATTAAATGTTTTCTCGCCGAATCTGTGTTATGTGAAGTCTTTTGTACCATTTGTTTAATTTTATGTCTAACTTCAATCATATCCTAGGCATATCTATGCTTTCCTGGCATTGTAGCTGTAGAGGCGTTGTCTTTTACTGAATGGTAGGTGTACTTACTCTGACACATGCAACTTTAAATTATGGATAAGCGCTAGTCCATTTTTCTCCTCTCTCTCTTCTTCTATTTTTTATGACTTCATGTGTTCTTCTGAGAGTGTGGATGATAAGCAGTGCTTCTCGTTGTAACTTAGTAGACTTCAGATGCAATGCAACATTCTTTGTTTTCGTCTAGAAATTTGAGTCTATGTCTAAGAGATAGACTTTGACTTTTTCTTTTGTCTGGTCAGCTATGTTGACTTTTAACTCCGTCTAAGATGCTTTGACTTAGATTATCCATCGTGAAGTTAGATGGAAAACACATAGAAGGGGGGTTGAATATGTGTGTGTATGTGAACAAAGGAATTTTAAAATCTTTTCGCAATAAAGCTCTCTTTCGTCCAATAAAAATATTATTAGTGAATGCTTCAATACAAACAACCCAGGATTGGTTTACCAAAATCATTTTGCGTCTAGGAGTTTCATAGTCTTCTAAGAGAAAAATACTTCATGGACAAAAACTATTCTTTTAGGATAATTAGCTAAGCAAATATAGTTTTCGTCTGAAGATAGTTTTAATAGACGATAAACATTAGACGAAGTTTTCAGTATATTAAATCTCTCAAATAAACGTGTGTCTGAAATATAAAAATAGTGCAAGTATTTTTATACTAGTTCACTCAAACTAAGCTACATCCAGTCTCCTCCAATCAAAGGGTTGCACTAGATAATCAATTAAGTACAAGTATAGTTTGTTCAGCCTCTTCAGGCTCATAGTGAGTATTATAGACCACTCAGGTCACGACCACTCCTGGTCCCAAGTATTCTCAACCACTTCTGGCTCGTCAGCTTCACTTGCAGACACTAGTATTCTTTACTCAGCCACTTCTGGCTCGTAGTGAGTATTATAGACCACTCAGGTCACGACCACTCCTGGTCCCAAGTATTCTCAACCACTTTTGCCTCGTCAGCTTCACTCACTAGCGCTAGTATTCTTTGCTTAGCCACTTCTGGCTCCCAATGAGTATTCTCTAACAACTCCTGGCCCATTGATTTCACTCATCAACGCTAGTATTCTTTACTCAGCCACTTCTGGCTCGTAGTGAGTATTCTTTGACAAGCCTCTCCAGGCTTTACAAGTATTCTTTCCCTAGCCTCTTCAGGCTTTACAATATTAGTTAAGCAAGTTTGGTTTGAGTGTTTGGGTTACTCTCATTGAGAGGATATATAAGAATATACACTCACTAAGGTATGCAACCTTAGTCTTTACAATGATTGAGTGTTTGGTTTACTCTCACAGAGAGGGTACATTAATTGATACACTCACTAAGGTTTTGTTCCTAAAATACACATGCTTGGAGCTCCTTAGTCTACAGAGATGAAAACACTGTGGTGCATTTGACTCTATGCGCTCTATCTCTGGTTTCGTTATTTCGTGGGCTTGATATCACTTGGTTAAGAATGCAAAGCCAAAGGTCATCCAAAAAGCCAACCTTTCAAGGTTTGAGATAATGATATATATATATATATATATATATATCTGTATATATATATATATATATTGTCTTGTAGAATCTGCCCGTTGCAAGTGTCCGTTGTAGCAAATATAGTCATTCATGACTAGTTTGATCTTTCATTTAATGCTCAAGATCTTGCATTAAATGTTGTTCTCGTTTATAGACCTTGCGTGAAGTCTTCTTTTCCTTGTTAGTAGCTGTGTCTGAATTTAGCAGAGACCTAGGAACCTTTTTGTCCTTTTCTGGTCTCATAGTTGTAGAGTGTTGTCCTTATCTGAAAAAGTGATGTGCTTTTTCTAACACATGCATACTTTTGCTTTTGCGTGCTTTTATTCTTCTTCTTCTTTTCTCTTTGATCACACGTTTTACGTTGAGAGCATTTAAGTGATTATAGATGTTGCCTTGATTTGTCTTTTAAGGCTTGATTCTTTAATTGTTTGCGTGGTAGTCTTCGTTTGCGTTTGTTAGTTCTGTGCATCTCAATCTTGACCTCCGTCTGAGCATCTGAGTTTAATGCTTTGACTTTCTTTTGATCTGGTCAGCGTTTCAAGTGGACAGACTTTGTTCTTCGTCTGACGTGTCTTACAGTTTGTGTTGTCCTTTTTCTTCTATGTTGTTAACTTTCTTTTTTTCTTTTTTCTCATGCTTCGTCTAATTCCTTATGTTGCACTGGAAGTTGTCCTTGACATGCTTTCATCTGATATTGGACTCACAATCGTCTAGTGCCCATATTGTACTTTGTCTTTTTCAATTTGATTTGTCTGGTTCTCATGATGTGCCTTGCCTTAATAGTTCTTTTATCAGAGTTGACCATCTGGTTTCATCTAATGTTCAATACAACTTTTCTTGTTCTAGGTTTGGTCTTATTTTGGCTTTTCTTCTGATACTTCAATGTCTTGACTTGTAGTAGGCCTCATCTGGTGTTTGTTGAATGTTCTTTCGTTCGTGATCAGACCTAATCTTAATTGTTGACTAGCCATTATCTAATTCTTTTGGTTATTTTGTCCAGGCTTCATGGATTCTTGCATTTAATGCATTTGATCTTGCATTAAATGTTTGCTTGCTGAGTCTGCATTACACAAAGTCTTTTGTAGCATTTATTTACTTCTATGTTTGGCATCAATCAAGACCTAGACATCTCTGTACTTTCCTGGCATTGTAGCTATAGAGGTGTTGTCTTTTGTTGACTAGTAGGTGTACTTGCTCTGACACATGCAGCTTTGACTTATGGATAAGCGTTTGTTCATTTTTCTTTTCTCTCTTCTTCTATTTTGATGATTTCATGTGTTTTTTTGAGAGTGTGGATGCTAGATTCTTTTCGTTGTGACTTCAAATGCAATCCAGCATTTTTGGTTTTTGTCTGTGTATTTGAGTCTCCATCTGGTCAGCTATGCGAGCTCTTGACTCCATCTAGGATGCTTTGATTTAGTTTTCTCCATTGTCCGTGATCTTGTATCATTTGAGGCTTTATCATTTTCCTTCTTGTGCTGGACTTTATTTCGTTTGATCTCCTCATCTAGTCTTGTTAGCTTTTACTCATTATCTTGGTTGCTCGTGCTCTGTTCTTTATTTGTGTTGTGTTTATGTTGGGAAGGGGGCATTGTATTTGCTATACTGCAAGGTTTTCCATTTGTAGGTGTAGACCCCTAAAATTGTCCGGGTCGGAAAATGTTAATAGGAAGCCTCTCTTCCACATGGACCTACTGTTAGGAAGACTTTCGACACAAGAGATCCCAAACTTGGATCCACCAATCATCATACTCGTCGAGCCGGTCACCTCAGACCATCGCCTCTGATATCACTTGTTGAGCATTAGGGGTTACCACACATATACTCATGTCAAATAAGCTATCAGCTATGTATATTTAAAAATGCACCAAACACAATTTATGTAAAATTACTAAACCATATTTAGAACAATATAAATTAAACAATATGCTGCTTAAAAGGGAAGCCAAGCTACTTGCATATGCATACACACCAAATTTTTAAGATCCAGCATTCAGGAACACAACACAACAGAAATATTAGAGCGCTATGAAAAGATAAACCTATATGTACCCACCAAGAAATTCAAAGAGGTACAGAAATTTGTTTGTTTCATATCTTTATGCCGGTTATAAATAGAAGTCGAATAGCACATGCACAATCCCAAATTTGCTAAGAACCATAAAAGAAGTATAGCCTTCCCGCATAGGTTGAACTAATTACCTTTATTCTTCCATCAAGCAGTCCATTTAGTGCAATAAACTGAGCAACATGGGAACCAAAACCTCCAATGGATCCTTCTTCAACAGTTATTAGAAAAGAGTGATTTTTACAAAGCTGCCTCAGAAGCTTGATGTCAAGGGGCTTGCAGAACCTTGCATCAGCAACAGTCACCTCAATGCCTAGCTTTGCAAGGAGTGAATGAGCCTTTAGGCAGTTCTGAACCATCGATCCATATCCTAGGAAAGCAACATCTTTACCTTCAACAAGAACTCTT